CTGTGGGCTTGGTGACTCTGTGGGCTTGGTGACTCTGTGGGCTTGGTGACCCTGTGGGCTTGGTGACACTGTGGGCTTGGCAACACTGTGGGCTTGGCCACCCCATGAACTTGGCGCCAGGACTAGCTGCCAAAGTGATGTGGGTGAAGCGAGGTCCCTCGCAGATGGCAGGATGAGGCCTCTCCGCGGTGACTGGAGGACAGTGTTCTCCAGCTACAGCCCGAGGGCTGTGCAGCCCTGACGTGATGGGAGGGAGGAATGGCCAGTGACAGAGGACAGATGCTGGGAGGCTCCTCTGGGGAGGACGGTGCTTCGGCGGCCCAGCAGCATGGCGGTGCTGGCGCTGGGGAGGGCAGCCCCTGGCTGGAGTCTCAGCCCATCCCCTGTGGCTGCTCTGACAATGACCCCAAACCCGGTGGCCTCAGACAGAGCGGTTTGMTCTCCAGGGTCCTGGTCTGGGTGCAGTCGGGGCTCTGGAGACCGACTCCCCCAGTCCCTCTGCAGCCTGCGACTGTCCCTCGCCTCCTCTGCTTCCTGAGCTGTGGGCAAGTCCTCCCTGGCTGGTCCCCTCACCCTCTCCACAGGGCCTTCTCCCTGCTGAGCCACCCTTGGGGTCCCTCTGTTAAGTGTGTGTGACGGCATCCAGAGTTCGCCCAGCTGATCCAGGACGAGCTCCTCCTCACCAGACCCTCGACTCAGCCACGTCTGATGAGTCACGTCCCGGGTTCTGGGGACGTGACGGGGATGTGTTGGGGGGGGGGGGTCATGCTTTGGCCTACCATGTCCACCTATCAGCTGTGTGACCTGGCAAGTGGCTTCACGTCTCTGAGCCTCATCGAGCCGTTGAGGGCTGGGCCCTGGCGTGTGGGATCTCCAGTGGCTCTGGATGTGACCCTGTGTGGCCTGGTGCCGGCTCTGCTGGGTGGCCAGAGAAGCCGACGTGGCCTCCACGTGAGGGCAGGGAGGAGGCCCTCACGTCCATGTCTCGTGTGTGGTCCAGGTACCTGAAGTTCACGCTGGACCAGTACGTGGAGAACGATTACAGCCTCGTCTACTTCCACCACGGCCTCCACGGCGGGAACAAGCCGTCCCTGGGCTGGCTGCAGAGCGCCTACAAGGAGTTTGACAGGAAGTGCGTGCCAGCCTCGGGCACTGGGCGGGCATTGGGCAGCCACCGTGGGGGCTGAGTGTGGCGGGTCTCGGTGTGCAGTGGGATGGGTGGCTGCTGGGTCTGGCTTTGCAAGTGGACAGCTTCCACCTGGAGGAGGCCACACAGCCCTGGGCAGTTAGGTCACGTGTCGGTGCCCGGCAGCTGGCTCTGTGCGGCGGGCTGTGACCAGGAACAATTCAAAACCAAAGGTCACGTCACCAGATCCAGGTGGAGGCTGCCCGCCCAGCATGGGAGACCGTCCACACTCACACAGAGGCCACTGATAGGTGGCACGTCTGGCAGGGCCGGGGCCGGGCGGAAGGCCCTGGTCAGGGTCACTGTGTCAGATGGAAGCTGCTGGCCTGTGGGCTTCTGCTCGGGAAGGTGGACGGGCTGGGGCTCAGTCCAGGCCCCGCACAAGCAGAAAGCTGGGCCCTGCAGAGGCAGCGCCTGCACAGTGACCTCGTCTTGCAAGCGTGCCTGTGGGGCGGACAGGGGTCCTGATCCCCCAAGAGTGAACCCCTGGTTTCTGGCTCAGCATTCTTAAATGCTGGGGGGGGGSCCGAGACCCCGGCTGCGGCTCTGCCCCCGGCTTCAGCTGGGAGCGACTGAGCCGCAGCCCCAGGGCCCCCTGGTCCCCTCCCCAGGTACAGGAAGAACCTGAAGGCGCTCTACGTGGTGCACCCCACCAGCTTCATCAAGGTCCTCTGGAAACTCTTCAAGCCGCTCATCAGGTGGGTGTCACTCCTGGCSAGGACGGGGATCACCTTCACCGCAGGTCCCACCTGAGGATGGCCACGGGTCTGGGCCCCCTGCCTGCCCGAGGGGTCTGTGCTGAGTCGCAGCATGGCCCAGGGCGTGTGCACGACCCTCTGAGGGCCGTGGACAGGAGCGCCGGCCCCCGGTGCCTGAGGCGAGAGCCTGGATTTTACCCCCGACACCCGAGCACCCACACGGCGCAGCTGCACTGGGACATGGCGTGACTTCCACCGTGACCACGTGTGGCACGGGGAGCGGGTGCTGCTCACGAGTGAAGCGTGGCCAATCCTCGGGGCCCAGGGGGTTTCTTGGGGTTGGTCCCATAAACATGGAGTGACCACTGGCCGACTCAGTGACTCAGCTCCTGCGAGGTCAGATGTAGACAGCCCAAGCCCCGCCCAGAGCAAATGGCTGGTGTCCACCACGTGGTGTCCCCGGGTCRCAGATGCAAAGACGTTCTTATCAGATGTTCCAAAAGCTCAGAGGCCACCCCCAGGAGCAGGGCAAGGGCCACTCCCTTCTCTGGAGCAGACAGGTTTGGACACTCGGCCTGTGGTCAGCCCCTCCTGCCGGCAGCCAGAGCCAACGGCACAAAGAGCTGGACCTGAGGCCTCAGCTGACCTCGTCCCCGGAGCTGGACTGTTTCCCACCTGAGGCTCTCGGTGTGGGTGGGCAGGCTCGGGGCTCTGCCAGGCCACGGCGGCATCTTCTCGCCGCCCAGCTTGACACCTGCACCAGGCGCCCACTGCCTGGAGCCCCGTGGCGCAGCTGGGCAGGGAGCACACCCCAGGCCTGGCCTGGACGGGCCCAGGCGTGCCCTGGAGGTTGGGACATCGGAGGGAGGAGGAGTGTGTCCTGGAGGGTCAGGGGGACTTGGGAGGGCCTCCCAGGAGGGGCTAAGAGCAGGGTTGCCTCCCAAGGGAGGTCACCCTTCCCTGGCCCTCTCTGGACACGTGGGCACAGACCCATGGCCTTCGCTGCCTCCTCGGGGCCCTGCCTGCCTTCCCCCAGCAGACCCTCCTGTGGTGGCCTGACAGCGTCCCTCCCGCCACGGTCATCGTGGTGGGCAGGTGTGGGGCTCTGTGCCCAGGTGGGGAGCCCAGGTGGAGCTGGGTGGGCATCTTTCCATTTCCTCAGCCGATATCCAGGAGGTCATCGGCCTCCAGAGACCTGGGCCCCTGGCCCTGGCACTGCCCGCCGGCGGGTCGTCTCCCCGGGGCTGAGCCGCTGCATCTCGTCCTGCCCCCGGGGGCCTGTGTCTCTGTGTCAGCACACCAGCCCTGGGGACCCCGGGCTGTCGGCCAGCAGCAGTTCTGGGGCCTGGGGACCCTCTTCACTGCAGCGGTCAGCTGAATAATGGCCCCAACAAACCTGCAAAGGCGTCCCCTCCATGGTACCAGGCACCTTGCAGAGGTGACCCAGGTCCCCAGCTGGGCCTGAGGACGTCACAGGTCCCGTGTTCCTGTCCCAGCCGAGGTCTGAGGGGGCGAAGTGCCGATGGAGGGGCTGGAGTCCGCTCTGCCACCGTGGGGTGGGGGGAGAGCCGCGCCACGGAGCATGGACCCTGCCTCCCGGGGAGCCCACCCCGCACCTCCGTGACATCACCACCGAGACCCATGTGGCCTTCACCCACAGGCCTGCAAGGAGTGAGTGGGTGGCATAGGCCAAGGTCTGTGGTCATTGGCTGCTGGGGCCACTGGGCACTGTCACAGCTCTCCTAGCTGCTGGTCAGCCCCCCGCCCGTCACTCATATTCTGAAACCTCAAGGTCCCACACCCCCCCCCCGTCACTCACCCGGGGCCCGTGATCCTCATGGTCGTGGGAGCAGGTGGGCCATGGAGTGACCACTGGCTGACTCAGTGACTCAGTTCCTTCGAGGTCAGATGTAGACAGCCCAAGCCCCGCCCAGAGCAAATGGCTAGCCCCACCCACTCCCCTGGGGCCCACCCTGCCTTCTGAGGCTCCGGTGACCATGAGCCCACGGCTGCCCCTCTGCCTGCCCTCCCCACGGGCCCCACCTGTGTTCTGCAGCACATGGCCTCGCTGGTCCTGCAGACACGGTTCCCTGGCCCCCACGGGTGCCAGGCCCCAGCAAGGCCCGTGACATGGAGCCGGGTGAGAGGCCTGCAGAAATGAGCAGCTGGTCTTCAGGGGGCTCCGGGCTCCCCCGAGGTGGAGGGCTGACTGGGACTGAACTCTGTTACGAGGTCACAGGTGCCCTGTGTCACAGGGCCCAGGAGGAGGGAACTGTGTGGCCCTGAGTCCCCGGGCAGTGGACCCGAGTCAGGTCCTGGGGAACGCAGGAGGCTTCAAGGCCAGAGCTGGCTTGGCTGGCCTCCTGGTCCCAGGCCTTCCCACCTGGCCGCCTGCTGGAAGTGAGGTCCCTGTGGGTTTGTGTTGGGCCAGGAGCAGTGCCCAGGGGGCCCCTGACAGATTTGACAGCGAGAAAGCCAGTGCTGGTCACCCTGCGGTCCAGGGACAGCTTCAGGCGACCCAACTCCAGGTGCTGCCACTCGCCTTAGGAAGCCCGAGGGTTCTAGAGACCTCGAAGGTCCTCAGGGGACGCGGCAAGGTCCCCTGTGCCTGAGGTTGGCCACCGAGGCCTGGGATGGTTCTGGAGCCACATTGCCTGGGTCACCTCTGTCCTGCTGGCCACCCACTGCTCTGGATGAGAGATGCCGCCGCTCTGCCTGGGCTTCCCCATGTGGCCAGAAACACCACCTAAGTCACTCCATGTTACAACAATGACTTCCTGGGGACCTTTGGAATAGGACCTGCTGGGCCCTAGCAAATGTTCATTGTTAGGGCTAGCATTGTTTAATCTTTTGATTATCCTTTCTTCTTTGATTTAATTACAACATCTGCACCTTATGTGCCAGGCGCCCCCAGACATCCTCTGAAGTTAACCATATTTTCCCTATTTCAAACAAGAGAAGGCTGATGCTCAGAGAGGTTGAGCAGCCTGCTCTAGGTCACACAGTAAGGGCGGGGGCTGGGATTCCAACTCTAGCCTGGGTTCTTCTACCCCTCATCCTGCCTCAGGGAGGGTTGGGGGCCCTGGAGCCAGGACTGGGGTATGCTGCCTGTTGGCTGTGTGTCACTGGGCAGTAATATGACCTCTCTGAGCCCTGGAGTCATTTGAAGATGGAAGAATTGTATGAATCTGGCAGGAGAACTRTGGTCTCCAGCAGGGGCCAGACTGTCCCTGAGTCCTGTGGAGTCTGAGTGGGCAGGTGGCAAGGACACTCCGTGGGACCCTCCACCCCTAGTGCTGGAACCCAGAGAAGCCCTGTCCTTTGTGTGCATTACTCCCAGCACTTGGTGGCTCTTCAGCCACCCAGCCTTCAGTCCTGGTCCCCAGCCTCCTGCAGAACAGCAATCTTGAGTTCAGGGCCCGGCCAAGTCACCCTGTAAAACCCACCAGGGGCCAGGGACGCTTCTCCCTCCTCCACTAGGGGGAGCCCATGCACACAGATGGGCCTCCCTCTGGTCCCCTGCAGGTGGGACAGGCCCAGGCAGCCACGCTGGGCCAAATGGTTCACTCCTACTCTGTAATTTCCTGCCGTGATCCCCCATTTTCTGGTTGTTTTTGCAGTGGTGAAATTGGATTATTTTAATTTCACAATGTATATCGCACTGAGAATGCACGAACACTTATTTCAAGGCTTGCAAATTGTCATAATAGTAACGCATTTGGTTTTGCTGACTCCGTAACTCCCTTCCTGGTAACTGCGATTCCGCCCCCACATCCATAGTTGTGCCTCTGGAATACGCACATAGGGGAGGCGCTGCTCCAAAAGTACAAGAGAAAACCAGCCTGGGTCTCGCCATCGAGGAACCTGAGCTTCATTAATATGATGGTCACGGGGACTGGACGTCGCCCAGGTGCCTGGCGATGGACGAGTTTGTGCAAATCACCTCCTTCTGTCTCACGGGGCGGGGCCCATCCTCACAGGGCCTGGGCCCCCAGAGGAGGAGCGAGTCGTCCCGGGTGAGGGACAGGACCAGGTTGCTGGATGCAGCCAGGGCTCCTCTGGCTTTATGGCTGTGCTGGCGTCCTGTGTCCCCAGGGACAAGCCTGGAGACTGCCACTCGGTCCCTGCCCTTGGGGACACTCTCAATGGGGAGGTGTCAAATGCAAAGCCATGTGCCACCCAGGCCCAGCACCCTGGATCCCAGCACCCTGGGTCCCAGCACCCTGGATCCCAGCACCCTGGGTCCCAGMACCCTGGGTCCCAGCACCCTGGATCCCAGCACCCTGGGATTGTGCGCCAAGCCCGCAGAGCTCCCGGTCTCCTCCGTCTGTGCCGACTCAAGGTGGATTCAAGTTGGGCACATTTTATTGATGGGCATGGGGATGGCACTGGGCACATGGCAGGCCTCAGGAGGGATAGCCTCAGACGTCCCATCTCCAGGAGCTGCCACCTGCCCTCCCCAGACCCCGCATGGCCTCTCCCTGCCGCCTGACCCCTGCTGTCTTCTGCTTTCCTAGTCACAAGTTTGGGAAAAAGGTCACCTATTGCAGCTCCCTGAGAGAGCTCCGGGAGCACCTCCAGTGTGACCAGCTGCCCATCCCCCAAGAGGTGCTGCGGTGAGTGCCCGCCAGGCTGGGGGATGGGGGGATGGGCACTGGGGACTGGGGGGATGGGGACTGGGCTTGGGAGTTGGGCACTGGGGCTGGGGGGCTGGGGGACTGGGGGGATGGGCGCTAGGGCTGGGGACTGGGATCTGGGGGCTGGGGGGCTGGGCACCACTGGGGACTGGG